AAGCTGTTTTACTGCATCTGTCACTCCTACAGTGCAAAAACTTGTTTTGTCTCTCCAGTAAATGTCTCTAATTTGAACCCGCTGTGGGCCCAATTTTTGTACTAGTTTATCATAAACTGGATCACCTCCTGGAGTTGTTTTGTGTCTCAAAGTGACATGTAACTCATCATTTTGTTTGACAATGGCACTTGGATTTATTGCTTGTTTTGCCCTTGCACAATTTCTTTCCCTGTTTCTCCAGGGTCACTTGCTGGCAAGTCCAACAATACAATAGTGATGTCTCCCCTTCTAGGACATGGATATCAGTGTTGTTACAACGCCTAGCCTCCATATTTCCATTTTTATTTGGAAAAATTCCCATTTTTAATGCAACCATTGCATCCCATGATGCAGAGTGATCATGGGCCTCTTGGCTGCATCTCTGATCAGTCTTCTCCTTGTTTGAGATGAAAGTTTGGAGGGACGGCCGGGTCTTGGTAGATTTGCAATGGTCTGATACTCCTTCCATTTCAATATAATTGCTTGCACAGTACTCCTTGAGATGTTTAAAGCTTGGGAAATCTTTTTGTATCCAAATCCGGCTTTAAACTTCTCCACAACAGTATCTCGGACCTGCCTGGTGTGTTCCTTTGTCTTCATGGTTCTCTCTGCGCTTTAAACAGAACCTTGAGACTATCAAAGAGCAGGTGCATTTATACGGAGACTTGATTACACACAGGTGCATTCTATTTATCATCATCAGTCATTAGGACAACATCAACAATCATTCAAAGATCCTCACTGAACTTCTGGAGTGAGTTTGCTGCACTGAAAGTAAAGGGGCCGAATAATATTGCACGCCCCACTTTTCAGTTTTTTATTTGTTAAAAAAGTTTAAATTATCCAACAAATTTCATTCCACTTCACAATTGTGTCCCACTTGTTGTTGATTCATGACAAAAAATTAAAATTTTATATCTTTATGTTTGAAGCCTGAAATATGGCGAAATGTTGAAAGGTTCAAGGGGGCGAATACTTTTGCAAGGCACTGTATAAAAGACAGGCAGCAGCCTGGGTCTAACTGCACTGGTGGAGAGGCAAGGCACAAAGACTGCTGATTGTCCAGCCACTAGTCTATAGCAAAGGTATCTTTCCCCTTCAAAAGTAAATGCAAACCAATATTGACTGTCTTTATGCACTGGAATTGACCAGAATGCATTGCTGAGATCAATCACAGAGAAGATTTTAGCCTCTGATCATAATTGATTTAGCAGTGTGTATGGATCAGGGACATTTGGTGCTCTCTGAATAACGGCTTCATTCACAGCTCGCAGATCTTGAATCATTCTCCAGGCTGTGGATGGAGGTGCCTTTTTTACTGGGAAGATTGGTGTGTTACATGGGGATTCTGAGCATTTTTGAATTATTCCTTTTTTAATTAAATCCTGTATTACAGGTTTTATTCCTTCTACTGCATCAGGTTTTAAATGATATTGTTTTATCCTTGGCCTATTTTTTGCTCTGATCTCACTGGTAATATTCCCTTCATTAACCCAACATCTGTGGGCCCTTTTGGCCACACCTTATCTGGAACTTGCTCAAGCTCCTCCTCCTCTTCTTGTGTTAGTCATTTGTCATGCAAGATCCTGGTCAGTCAGATGTACAGCTGGAGTACATACTACTGTCCAGTGTATCATTTGTTTTCTCCAGCCAGTTGTTTTACTCAAGTATACTCCTACTTCTTTATCTTGTTCCCAATCTCTAATTGATTCCACTTGACCATTGTTATGTGGCATTGTTATCACTCCACATTGCCTCTGGGTTTTTGGATATAGAGATACAGTATGTGGATTCTGCAAATCCCCCATAAGCTGTTTTACTGCATCTGTCACTCCTACAGTGCAAAAACTTGTTTTGTCTCTCCAGTAAATGTCTCTAATTTGAACCCGCTGTGGGCCCAATTTTTAAACTAGTTTATCATAAACTGGATCACCCTCCTGGAGTTGTTTTGTGTCTCAAAGTGACATGTAACTCATCATTTTGTTTGACAATGGCACTTGGATTTATTGCTTGTTTTGCCCTTGCACAATTTCTTTCCCTGTTTCTCCAGGGTCACTTGCTGGCAAGTCCAACAATACAATAGTGATGTCTCCCCTTCTAGGACATGGATATCAGTGTTGTTACAACGCCTAGCCTCCATATTTCCATTTTTATTTGGAAAAATTCCCATTTTTAATGCAACCATTGCATCCCATGATGCAGAGTGATCATGGGCCTCTTGGCTGCATCTCTGATCAGTCTTCTCCTTGTTTGAGATGAAAGTTTGAAGGGACGGCCGGGTCTTGGTAGATTTGCAATGGTCTGATACTCCTTCCATTTCAATATAATTGCTTGCACAGTACTCCTTGAGATGTTTAAAGCTTGGGAAATCTTTTTGTATCCAAATCCGGCTTTAAACTTCTCCACAACAGTATCTCGGACCTGCCTGGTGTGTTCCTTTGTCTTCATGGTTCTCTCTGCGCTTTAAACAGAACCTTGAGACTATCAAAGAGCAGGTGCATTTATACGGAGACTTGATTACACACAGGTGCATTCTATTTATCATCATCAGTCATTAGGACAACATCAACAATCATTCAAAGATCCTCACTGAACTTCTGGAGTGAGTTTGCTGCACTGAAAGTAAAGGGGCCGAATAATATTGCACGCCCCACTTTTCAGTTTTTTATTTGTTAAAAAAGTTTAAATTATCCAACAAATTTCATTCCACTTCACAATTGTGTCCCACTTGTTGTTGATTCATGACAAAAAATTAAAATTTTATATCTTTATGTTTGAAGCCTGAAATATGGCGAAATGTTGAAAGGTTCAAGGGGGCGAATACTTTTGCAAGGCACTGTATAAAAGACAGGCAGCAGCCTGGGTCTAACTGCACTGGTGGAGAGGCAAGGCACAAAGACTGCTGATTGTCCAGCCACTAGTCTATAGCAAAGGTAACAGGATATGAAGATTTAAAACACATGTGACAATATGACCTATGAACTCTAGGTTTGAAAACAATCTTCTCTTCCAACAGAAGAAGTCTCTTCTTTTATAAGACCAACTCATCCCAGATGTTTTCTGGCTTTTTGCTTGTTTATACGTCTCGTCTTTCACTCTTGCCTGGGGGCTGGAAGAATGCTGCATCCCACCCTCAATGCATGAGTTGGTTAACTAGACTAGACCCTACTAATCTACACACATTTATTAATATGATAATACACATAACATTTCTTGACAGGTAGATTCACCAGTCGGAGATTGTTTAGACGTGATCTCGTTTCTAGATCAATAACTTTCTCCTCAAGGTGTTTGTTTCATTTACCCAGCTTTTCGACTTCAGATTTTAGGCTGTTCTGGTCGTCCTCCACGTGAGAAATGCGCACTTCTGCTTCGTCCAGCCGGCCTTCACACGCACCCACTTGTTTTTGCGTGTGGCGAATAGCTGTCATAACACGTCAAATCTTCCACAAAATTCTGACCTGAGACTGCGCAGTTCTCCCAGTATTTCTTCTTTTGTCATCTCTTCGCTAGTAGCTTCTTTGGCTAGCAATAATAGTTGACCCGTATTTTGCAGTCCGAAGTCCGTAAGTTTCAATTGTTTTATTGCTAGACCGTCCCTTGCCTGGCATCATTACATAATCAATTAACCGTTCGGAGCGTTGTATATCCGTAAAAAAAATATTAAATCAGGATTTGTTCAGGTGCAGGGTAAAACGTGACCTAGCAGCTTGCGGCCATGACCGGAAGTCTTAAGTAATGTTTTGATAAACAACAACAGGTCCACGTTGTTTTTTAAGTTATGGACTATTTTGAAAAAAATATGTTTTTTGTCTTTTCTGTGTTTGGGGGAGGATGTATGTGTATACATGTAATTATTCTTATCTACTTATTATCCTGCCCTATACAGTATGTTCAGTATATAACTCTGCACTACTATATACTGTATATTTTTTTTGTAATTGGTATTGAAGCATTTAAAGCATCTACCGCTAGTTAAGCTAGTTAACGAGCATAGCTATTACTTATTTTGTATTTTGTATATTTTGTGTGCTCCCTGTGTGCTCTTACTACTGTCCTGTATGTGCGCTGCAACATGGAAATTTCACCACTATATTATGGCTTATTGGGAGTGACGAAAAGAGAGTCCAAGTTATTAAACGGCGCATTTGAATTACCATCTGTCTTTGTCTCGTTCGTATGTCCTGTAAGATATATACAGACATCACAGTTACAGTATATGGATGCGATGACAGAAACGTAATTTGATGGGAAAGAAGCACTTCAACAAAAAAGTCCGCCAGATCCCCTTATCATCCACAAATAACATGTGTTGCACCCTCTGCTCGAAGAGTTTGTGAGAGGTTTGTGGTGTGTTTTGTAGAAGAGGAGATTAATGTTATGTACACCTTTTATTTATATTATTATAATTTTTTATAATTCTTACTACTGTAGTTGTTGTTGAAGGTTTTGAATCATTTCATATGAAAGAAATTGCTTGAATGGATTTCTAATAAGTCAAATCTTTGACTTATCTATTGAACTGATAAGTGGTCCTCTTGCCAATTTAATTTGGTTACCCCTGATATAGAGGGAGAGACAAGAGACAGATAAGAGGAGGGACCAGAGGAAGCCACAACCTTTTTCCTTTAATTAAAGGTAACTGTATTGTTATACTAGTGGTTATATTATTTTGTTGATGATGTTGTTTGAGTAATCGCAACTTCAGTACAGAAGTGTACTAATCAGTTAATTAGATAATCACTAATTACAGTGTTACAACATGTGTTGTCTGATTGTTTACTGCACTTTTTTTGCGTATTTTATTCCTGTTCTTTTCACATTGTTTTGTTATGTACTTGTCTTGAGCACACTGGGGATTTTTGCATATGTATTCCAATTTGGGTTTACTGCAAATACAAAATAAAATGAATCTAATCTCACATCTGTAACTGTCTGTAAACGTTCTTTTAATGTTGTAGGACGTACGCAGACAAACTGAGCCCGAAAGTGGTTCAGTCTCTCCTGGACCTCCTCTGCAGTCAGCTCAAGAATCTGCTATCTCAAGCTGGAGTGGGGCAGCTGTCCTCCGGGAAGGTCCAGGATGATAAAAAACGGGACGATAATGTGGACTCGGAGAAGAAGGACTTCAGAAGTGAGTGATTGTACAGAAACAGGACTAAATGCGCTCTCTGGTCTCTCTCGCTGGTCTCTCTCTGATCTCTCTCTCTACTCTCTCTATCTGGTCTCTCTCTCTCTGGTCTTTCTGTGGCCTTTCTCTCTGGTCTCTGACCTTTCTCTCTGGTCTCTCTCTGGTCTTTCTGGTCATTCTGTGGTCTTTTTGGTCTCTCTGGTCTCTCTGGTCTCTCTTTGGTCTCTCTCTCTGATTTGTTCTGTAATACTGAACTATTATTTTTGCCTGGAACAGCTGTGCTCTGCAAGCAGCACACAGCGGAACTTCATCTTGGAGACTTCTTGGTGTTTCTGCGCAGAGTCGTTTCCTCCAAAGCCATCCAGTCCAAGATGGCCTCCCCCAAATGGACTGAAGTCTTGCTCAACATCGCAGCTCAGAAATGCTGCTCAGGTATAATTATCACAGGTGTCTTTGTGTCGCTCTTGTCTTGTCTCTCTGGTACCTCTCTTATCTATCTCCTATCTCTTGTCTCTCTTGTGTCTCTCATGCGTCTTGCGTCTCTTAAGCCTAGTGTATACTCGCGCGGCGCGGAGCTTACGGTGGTGACGTGACGTCACTTGCGCAACGCGTGGATCACCGCAAGGCCCTTACGTTGCCTGCCGCGCACCCTTTACAATTTACATAAGGGTCACTGCAAGGAAGCTCCGCTGTGATTGGTCCGTGTGTGTGTTTTGGAAGGAAGCATGAAGCGGCTGCAGCAGGGACAATGGACGAGGCATTTCGGAGAAGACTGCTTTGTGCTTCGAAGGAAACGAAGAGTAAGCAGTTTGGGCTCATGGCAGAGCCTGATATACGCAGAGACTGTGGACTATCTAACATATATATAACTTATAAACTGTACAGTCGTTTGTTTTGCATTGTTCCTGTCTTTGTTTGAATCTGCACTCGTTGATTATCGCGTCTGTTGCATTCCTCCTGTACTTATAAATTGTTCATGTTTGCCTCAGATATTTACCACTTATTGTTTTGCTGTTTGTGCTGAATACAATTTAATGATAACTATGTTTCCAACAAGAACGTGTCTTTATTCACAACATCACAGTTAAATGAGTTAAGAAATAATGAGTCCATAGAACTATCACATAAACCTGCACTAGAAACACGTGTAAGGATCTCAAACAGCTCAATTTGTTCATGTTTTTGTTCTAAAGAGGAGAAAGAAGCAGCGTAAATGAGACCGCTTTGGTATCTCAGGCAACTCCTGTGAGATCGCCATCATGTGGTTGGTTGTGGGATTACAACATTCTCCTCAAAACTCCGCAAGGAGTATAACACAAATTGTGCTTACGTAGGTCCACCGCAAACGCTAACGTAAGCCGTGCCGCGCAAGTATACACTAGGCTTTATCTCCCTTCTGTTACTTGTGTCACTTGTGTCTCCTATCTCTTTTCTGTCTCTTGAGTCTCTTGTGTCTTCTTTTTCTCTTGTGTCTCTTGTGTGTCCTGTGTTTCCTCTGTTTCTGCTCTTATGCCTTTTCAGTCTCTTGTATCTTTACAATCAAATTTTATTTATGAAGCGCTTTTCATTCAGGAAATGTAACACAGTGCTTTACACTTTGGTTAAAAACAATCCCACATGACCATGACCCCTCCACCCGACCTGATCATCCAACAGACCCACCCCAAACCACATATTTTAAAAAATATGCACACATAGAATAGGTGTGTGCATACAATAGGTTAAAATAGGTTAAACCATGAAAAGAATATAGGGCTGGGTGCAGATGTAACTAGCTGAAGAAGCGCCATCCAAGGAGCCATATGCACTTGATTCAGATTCAGATTCGGTTTATTTGCCATTTGCAGTGAAAACACCACATTGGAATACATTAGCAAAAAGTCTCCAGTGTGCACAGACAAATACAGACATAAAACCACATTAAAAGACAGAAATAAAACAAATAAAACAGTAAACAAATGTCACTGTGAAATCGATCGACTAAAACAGTTGCAAACAAGTGCAAATCAATAAGTGCTCTGTTCAAACTGATAACAGCTTGTGGATAAAAACTGTTAGCGTAACGAGATGTCCTGCATCTCAGAGAGCAATATCTTCTGCCAGAGGGAAGAAGCTGGAACATGGCTTTTCCAGGGTGGCCAGAAGAGTCATTAACAATCTAAGAGCTTTGTTTAAAAGTCTGGATTTATAAAGAACCTCCAGAACAGGAAGCTCACAATCCACGGTCCTCTTTGCAGAGCAGAGCACCTTGTTTAAAGCTCTCTTTTCTTTATCTTTAATGTTTACAAACCACACAGACACAGAACCAACAAGTAAACTCTCAATGGTGCAGCGATAAAAGTTAAGCAGAATCTTAGAGTTAGTGGCAAATTGTCTAAGTTTACGCAGAAAGTAGAGACGCTGACGAGCTTTCTTAACGACTCTGTCAGTGTTTTTAACCCATTTCAGGTCGTTAGACAGTTAAACCCAGAAACTTGCACTCCTCTACGATCTGCACCTGGGAGTTTTCGATTACGACAGGCAAATGAGAACTATTACCAATGCTTGGTTCTTGCTCTGACATGCACTGTCAACTGTGGGACCTTATATATGAGTGTGTTCACAGTTAAGTGTCAATTGAAGTATCTCGACTTTAAAAGGTTATAACTTAAAAACTAAAATTACTATCATAGATTGGAAAAAAGATTTCAAACACAGACACATCAAAGAGATAGTGTGGATAAAATCAAAAGGAAAGATTGTCAAATATATTTTTGGTGACATTTTAAACGACAAAATCAGCCTCTTTTTTGACCATTCTACTGTGACGCCAGTTACATAGAAAATAAAATGTCCTCAGTCTGAAAAAGCGGCAGATGAAATCCCACAATATTTACATGGTTAACACAACATTAGGAAATCACTTGATATGAAAAGGAATCGTTAAAAAATAAAAAATAATTAATTAATTAAATGACCCTTGAAAAATGCATAACGGACGTGATGGTTTCCGTCCTCTTTTCTCTAAAATTTTAACTTGAGAAAGAAAAAAATCTTGTCTGGTTTCACATTTAATTGGTAGACTAAATGAAAGTATCACTTTGTTTCTACTCTGTGTAAAAAAATAGAATCTCTGAATCAATTGTGAACATCTGAAAATACCTATCAAACTTCCGCAAAGCTCATTCCGTCAAATCATCACGTCCGTTAGATAAAATAAACAGGGCCGCTATAGGAAACTTGTCTAATGTATAAAACAGTTATGTTCTAGCAACTTCTAATGGACAGAGGAGGTGTTTGGAAACATGAAAAACATAAATTATCTTCTGATTATTAAAATTTAATTTTTGGCCTTTTGTCACACTTTTGTGCCCTTTAGTGTGAACAAGCCCATATACAGGTGTGTGCCTTTCCAAATCAACTGAATTTACCACAGGTAGACTCCTATTAAGCAGGAGAAGCATCTCAAGGATGATCCGTGGAAACAGGATGCGTCTGAGCTCAATTTTGAGCTTCATGGCAAAGGCTGTGAATCCTTATGTCCTACATGTGATTTCTTCGTTTTTTTATATGTAATACATTTGCAAAAATCTCCCCAATTTTTTTTTCACATTGTCATTATGGGGTTTTATGTTTAGAATTTTAAGGGAAACAAATGAATTGAATCCATTTTGGAATAAGGCTCTAACAAAACAAAATGTGAAAAAATAGCGCTGTGAATACTTTCCGTATGCACTGTATTACTTTAGACTTCAAGCGAGGAACACACACAGTTTCAATCTGACTAGGTTCTGAGGCGCGTAACTGAACAGTAGACTACTACATGGATTATCAAAGATAATGCGGACAGAGAGCAGAGCGCAGAGGGACAATCAGTCAAAACACACTCACCGGATACGGAAATGATCTAGATTATAGATAATTAATAGTAGTAGCTGTGTTGCAAAGAAGTATTGATAAAAAAAATTTGCTTCAAGTCTGCTGTGTGATAGTTTTCTATAGTTGCCAGTGATATTCCGGTTGGTTTGTTTTTCCAGTATAATTGGGTTGATATTAAATGAGTAATTTCTAATGGTTATCGCATGTATTTATGGGAAAACATTTATATTTTACTAATGTTTGAGTCCGAGTGTGAAGCGGCTGGGATGAGAATCAGCACCTCCAAATCCGAGGCCATGGTGCTCGACCGGAAAAAGGTGCCTTGCCCTCTGCAGGTGGGTGGAGAGGTCCTTCCTCAAGTGGAGGAGTTCAAGTATCTCGGGGTCTTGTTCACGAGTGAGGGAAGAATGGAGCGTGAGATTGACAGGCGGATCGGTGCAGCGTGCGCAGTGATGCGGTCGCTGTATCGGACCGTTGTGGTAAAGAGGGAGCTGAGCCGAAAGGCAAAGCTCTCGATTTACCGGTCAATCTTCGTTTCCTCCCTCACCTATGGTCATGAGCTTTGGGTAATGACCGAAAGAACGAGATCACGGATACAAGCGGTCGAAATGAGCTTCCTCTGCAGAGTGGCTGGGCGCTCCCTTAGAGATAGGGTGAGGAGCTCAGTCACACGGGAGGAGCTCGGAGTAGAGCCGCTGCTTCTCCACGTCGAGAGGAACCAGTTGAGGTGGCTCGGGCACCTGTTCCGGATGCCTCCTGGACGCCTCCCTGGGGAGGTGTTCCGGGCACGTCCCACCGGAAGGAGGCCCCGCGGAAGACCTAGGACACGCTGGAGGGACTATGTCTCTCAGCTGGCCTGGGAACGCCTTGGGGTCCCCCCGGACGAGCTGGAGGAAGTGTGTGTGGATAGGGAAGTCTGGGCGTCTCGGTAACGCTTTATATTAAGGTGTGCTTGTTAAGTATTAATAAGGTATTAATAGACATTAGCAACATGCTTATAGATTGCTTATATGTACTTATAAACATATTAATAAGCTGCTCATTTCACTATTCTCTAAATGATGTTGTTCTAGTTATATGCTTTTAAGCATTTAATAAGTAATTAGTAAGATACTTATTAAAGGAGGAATATGTTTATAAATATATGAATAAGCTGCTTATTAAACTATTATCGATACCATGTTAATAGGCCACTAACAATATGCCTATAAAGATATTGATACGCTGCTTATTAATAGGCAATAGTGGTAATAGGCCACTAAAAATATGCGTTAATAAACTGCTTATTACACTATTTTGCAGTACCCTAATCTAAAGCGAGGAGCATTTTTGTTAATGCAGAAAAAACAAACTCTAACTCCCGCTCTAACTCTCGCTCTGATCAGCAGCTCTGATTGGTCAGAGCACGGCCCCTCTGTGCACGTGCATGACATCCACGCAAGCGTATTTGGCGCAAAGCATCATGGGAGCTCGTCCACTGCGCAGAACCGGGAGGACCAGACGATGCCCAAAAATAGGCGAGTTCTGCTAATCTCTCAGGCTCGTGAAGTCAGTTGATTAACTGTTTTGCCAAA